GTCACAAAGCAGATCTGTTACAAACGGAGCATAGCTCGGGATACAGGAGGACGAGAGCGTGCAACATTGCTTGCACTGGTATATGATACCACCCCGCTCCTGTGAACAGAGGAGAGCCGAGGAAGATGGGAGGTAGCCAGTGTGTAACACGTATGCAGGATTATATGCCTACCTAATACCTGCAGCCAGTGTGTGTTGTAACCTCACCTTTGGAACCCAGCACTGGTGTCATGGTTGTGATGAAGTTCTAGGTACGCATTGGATTCTAGTGTTAGGATCCAACTCCTCCATGTGTGAATGTCCCCAGGTGCCCTTAAGGAAGTGGATGTCTCCCACCTTACTGCCATTTATTATGGATTTTTTTTCCCTTTTAAAAATCCTGGTGCTCCTACTGTTCGGAAATCCAAGCACTAGACTCTTGCCTAGGGATGTCGCTGTTGATGTGCAGCTGTTTAGACTTATCCAATCATTGAGCTTTCTGCTGGGGTTTCCAACAAGGAGTCAATACAGCGGAGTGCTCAGACCCAAAGCTTACACACAGGCAAACAGTGCCATATAAATGACAGATCCTCAGCTGGTGCTAACCAGCATAACCGCAGCTGGTCTGCTGTTTTTAAAAAAAACAACTTCACTATAAGCAGCGGGTTCCTAGAAACAGGATTTGCACATTCCGGTTCAGTTAAACAATGCAGCACTTTCATTCTACACCAGTCTAACCAGTAAAGCAGGGATGGATCTGGGCCCCTCACCCCAAAAGCAAGAGTTGGGAGTGAGAAGCTAGTTGATGTTTTTCTGTACCATGTAGCTTTGATGAAAAATGATTTTTTTTCGCAGACTTTTTTTTTTTCTGGTTTGCAAGTGAATGGTTTTGAAAAACAGATTTCAAAAATCAGTGTGTATTATGGGTTTGATTTTTATCAACCAAAAAATGTTTGAAGGAATTTCAGTGAAAACAAAAAAGCTGCAATTTTTTCAGTATTTCCCAGGAAAAATAATTGGTGTTTTTCAGCTAGCTCTGTCGTTCCTGGGTTTCTGAACACTCCCAAAGCCTGGGCAAGTTCAGAGCTTAGGCTTTGACCTGGGCCCACCTCTAGTTAGAACGGAGGGTCACCATGTCCAAGTTCACTCTAAGCAGCTTCCACTCCACCTCCAGGAGGATACGCGTCCAAAGGACAGGCCTGGATTGTCTTGCATTTCTGAATATCCCCAAGTCTATGATTCATGCTCATTTGCCCCCTCCTATACCTTCCCTGGCCCTGTAACAGAGCATAACTGAGCCCCCTGGTCTATCAGCGGTAGTTTCATTCCACTTTTTTTTTAAAAAGGCCTAACGTTTTTGGCCGTTGGAAAGAAAACCAACTGGAACGGCTTTTCTTTTAAAAAGCAAACTCTGCCCAGCTCCATATAGGGTCAGGCTGACACGCCATAGCCCAGGAATGCTGACTCTAACACAGCAGCTGATTGGCCAGCTGACTCCCCTGTGAGCTCTTTCCGCCCACTCCAGTTCCCAGCTGCAGACAACGGCCCCTGAACATAGACCTGATCCTGTGAAACAAGCCCAAGTTGAGGCATCTCAGCTCCATTGAGGATCATGACCCTGGGTCTTGATCCTTCTCTCCCTTATTCCAACATAACTCCATGGATTTAGGTGGAGTCACTCTTGTTCTGCCCTGGTGTCAGTGATTAGAAAATCAGTTCCTCCATCTAGGTGCCTCTAGCTTCCCTGTGGATCCTCTTCCTGTGACACTAACGATTAAGTGATCTGGTGGCTCAGATGGACGAGAGAAGAACATAAGAGCTGCATTACTGGGTCAGACTAATGGTCCATCTAGCCCAGTATCCTGTCACTGCCAGTGCCAGATGCTTGAGGGGGAGTGTACCAAACAGAGTAATATTGGAAAGATACACCCCCTGTCTTCCCCTTCTACCTTTTGGTAGTCAGAGGTTGAGAGTCACCCCAGGCATGGGGTTACATCCCTGATTATCTTGTCTCATAGCCATTGATGGACCTGTCCTCCATGAACGTATCTAATTCTTTGAACCTCTTTATACTTTTGGCTATCACAACATCCCATGGCTATGAGTTCCACAGGTTAATTGTGTTGTTGCATGAAAAGGTATTCCTCTTGTTTCCCCAGCTCCAGGTTTTGTACATGTTTTCCTGATACCCAGTCTAAACGCCCCACTTTCTTAATTTCACCCCCATTACAACCCCTAGGTACTGACCCAGCAGTTCCTCCCCACCCTTGGTGATGGCACTCTTCAGATTAGACTGTTCTCAAGCCCCTCCTTTAGCAGTCACTTAGACAAGCGATTTTATCTTTTAATCTTTCCTCCTTCATTGGTCCCTCCATTTTTCTCGCTCTTTTCCGAGCAATGTTCAATTTGTCAATATCTTTTTGGCAAGAGAACTGCATCTCCTTAGGGATTTGGACAGCACCAAACACAGTGGGGACTGCAATCCTGAGCAGGGTTCCTGGGCACTAACACAGCACAGGCAATACATAGTGACACAGAATAAAACACAGTGGCTCAGGTTTGGCCATGCCGGAGCTGATCAGGGAGGGACCATCATCTGCCGGCTCCAGGATGTGATGCTTGCGAGCACATAACCCCAAATCCAGCGATCTTTTACTGAATGGCATGTCTAATTCACTGCTATCTACCTACAGTACTTATGTGGCCCGCATTAAAATAGTATCTGAGCACCTCACAGTCTCTAATGTAAAACACCTCTGGGAACTGCTATTTTCCCCATTTAACAGATGGGGAACTGAGGCTCACAGAGGCTAAGTGACTTGCCCAGGGTCACACAGGAAGTCTGTGGCGGAGAAGAGACTTGACTACAGGTCTCCCAAGTCCTAGGCTAGTCTGGTCTCCCTCAACATCTGTGCTTCCCTACTTTCTCCTTCCCACTGAGTCAAGGCTTATCAACCTTTTTCTCCTGTCTGACTAGTGTTCCCGGAGCTCAATCCTTTGTTACTAAGTTATATGTTAGGGGTTAGCCCTTGATCCATTGACTTCAATGGGCTTTGGATCTGACTCTTAGGATCAGGCTCCGAGCGTTGTTGTAGCTATGCCGCTGCAATGTAGAAAGAACAGTAGTACTTGTGGCACCTTAGAGACTAACAAATTTATTTGAGCATAAGCTTTCGTGGGCTACAGCCCTCTTCATCGGATGCACAGAGTGACAGAAAGGGTTTTTCCATCACAATCCACCCTCTCGAGAGGCAATAGCTAAGCTGATAGAAGAATTCTTCCATCAACCTAGTTGAGTCTACAGTAGGGGCCAGGTCAACCTAACTACGTTGGGTAGGACATGAAATTTTTCACAGCCCTGAGCGTTGTAGCTAGATTGACCTAAGTTTTAGGTGTAGACCAGGCCTTGGTGAAAGAACCTTTGAGTTTCTCAGTTGCTCATTCTAAGCAGCATCCAGTGCTCAGTCTAAACAACGCTGTAGGGGTTTTATGGAGAGGAAAGCACAGTCAGTGGCACCAGTTCATCAGGACCTAATAGGGATGTCTGCTTCAGTAGAGCATAAGGCCAGGAATCTGTTCCCTGTGCTGTATGTGACTGGAGGGGGCACTCAATGCTCTAAGTGTCCGGTTTGAAACAGCGCAGCTCCTTCAAACCAGCTGGAGCAGTCAGTCCTTCATCCTTCTTCTAACTCTCCCAGGACAGAATGGGCCAGATCCTTAGCGGGTGTCAATCAGCATTGTTCCACTGCAGCCAATGGAGCTATACTGACTTACACCAGCTGAGGAGCTGACCTAGTCGGTTTACTGTGTAGGTCTTTGAGATGACATCTTAAAAACAAAGTGTCTATTTCCAGTTTTTCTAAGCTATTTGCAGTCACCTCTGTCTTCGGTGGCCCCCTCCCATGCATGGCATGACCCCAAACTCATCTGCAAGACCCTACCTGGTCCACATTTAAGTCCCTCTTAACGACCCACTTTTGCCTTGCAGGCTATAGTGAACCGATTGACTTGTACGTAAATTGCCTATTGTTGATCCCGCTCCTCTTACCTTTGTCTGCTTGTCAGTCTGTCCTTAGACTGTCAGCTCTTTAGACAGAGCCCACCCCTACTCCAGTGTTTGGAAAGCGCCTCCTACTTTGGGGTGGTGCCATCAATAAATAAGAATGGATATTAATGAGTCCAGGATACTCTGCGAAGAGTTCCCGCCCTGGACACTTTGGCCAAATTATTCTTGTCCTCCAAATTATCCTCTTTCGGCCTGGCTACTGCTCTCTACCCCAGAAGCAGCTGCATTCCAGTGCTGCTCTGTGTGTATAACTTGGGAAGCACCTTGAATACTGGCGTCTGAAAGGTGTTCAAACTGGGCTGCATTATCCTTCAATAGGTGTTCGTGTCCATGTTAAACGGGGAGAAGCCTAGGGCAAGATAATAGGGATGTGAACAGGAAGTCCGTGGGACCTGTGTGGCTTCAATGCCTCTGAAAATAAAGTCAGAGGGGCCCAATCCTCACTAATAGGCTTTAGTCAGGCTGCTCCCATGAATAATGCTCAGCGGGTAAAGGCTGTATGTTTCTAGGACCTCTGGAGGTGGAATAAAGTGGGCTTGGGAGGCAGCATCGCCTAGGCTGCAACTCTGGCGAGCTTGCTTCTGTTCCCAGCTCTGCCCCTAGCCTGCTGGGCGATCTTGGGTAAGTCAGTGTCCCGCTCCGTGCCTCAGTTTCCCCGTCTGACCAACGGGGATCGTGATACTGACCTACTAGGTCGGTGAAGGGGGGAGGCTGAACAGTGGGAGGCAGGATTGAAGAAGGGGTGGGTTGACTGCCGGGGGACAGGGAGCCGGGGGAGTAGCTGAGGGACAGGGAGCCGGGGGGGGGGGCGGTAAGGAGCCGAGCCCGGCCGGCCGGCGGAGAGCCAGCCCCACGGGCAGGGACGGGTTAAGCGGGCGGGGGCGGGCGGCGCAGGCGCGGGCCCGGCGCTGCCGAAGTTGTCCGGGCTCCGGGCCGGGAGAAGTTTGCGGCGCTGGGCGGAGGCAGCGGCGGGCGGCCGGGCTGCTCGCTCCGCTCCGGCCATGGCCTTCCGCCGGCGGGCCAAGAGCTACCCGCTCTTCAGCCAGGAGTTCCTGATCCACAACCACGCGGACATCGGCTTCTGCCTGGTGCTCTGCGTGCTCATCGCGCTCATGTTCGAGGTGAGAGTGGGGGGCCCTACCCCCCCCGGGGGCACCCTACCCCCCCGGGGGCACCCCCTGCACCCCTCCCCGGGGACCCCCCTGCACCCGCCTTGGGAGACTCCCTGGGACCCTTCCCCGGGACTTCGCCCTGTGCACCCTCGGGGTGCTGCCCTCACCTCTCTGGGACTCTGCTGCACCCCGTCCTGCAGATACACCCCAGGCCCTCGCGGCATACTGCCTGCTGCACCCCACGGGACCCTGCTGCACCCCACGGGACCCTACTTCACTCCTTCCTTGGGGGGACCCCTCTGCAGCCCCCTACCATGGGACACTGCACCCCTTCCTAGGGGTATTCTCTGTGCCTCTCCAAGGGACCCCAAGGCAGCCCCTCCACCTAAGGTGTCCTCCCTGGGGACCCCAATGCACTGCACCCCCCTGGGGGGTGGATCCCAATGTAATTCCTTCCCAGGGGAGCCTACTACCCCACCCCTATTGGAGGGCTCCCTGAATAGAAGGGTCTCTAGCAGATCCTTTCCTTGTCAGTGGAAGCAAATTCCCACCTCCCAGGGTGCTCCCCTGGAGAGTGCACCTTTGCAATGCACCCCTTCAACGTGTGGGGTAGAAGATGACCCCACCGCATCCTGCCAGGGGAGGGAGCCCCAGTGACTCTGCCTTTCGGCATTACCCCCATTGCGCCCATCATGGGGAGCGCGGTGCACTAAGTCCCCCCCCAGATCCCACCATCCTCCTTTTCCCAGCCCCTTTGTGGGTTAGTTTCCCTCCCCTACACTGCACTTCCTTCCCCCTTTCATTCGCCAGGGATCCTTCCCACTTTTCCTGTCCTCTCCCACCCCCGTACACAGCCATCGACCCCCAGGTAACTTCATTTCCCCTCTTCCATACCCCCAGCTGCTTCTGCACTCTGTCCACACCCACAACTTGGACCCCTGCAACTTCCAGTCTCCTCAGTACATCCTTCCCCCTCCCCAGTGCCTCCTTCTCCCCCTCCAGTTTGCAATCTCCATATCCCCCCCGCCCCCCAGCTCCTCTTAGACCTGAATCAGTGCCCACCAGCAACAAGATTTTCCCCTGGCCTCTAGCTGCTGCCCTCCTTGAGTCTGGTTGAGTGTAGGTGGGCGTAGGGGGACACTGACTAGCTACTGCCAGGGGATGGCAGTGCTTGTGGGACCCCTGTCCATGGGGTGGGATAATACCGTTGTGTCAAGAGACTGAATGATGCCACCCTGCCAGTCTCTGTGTTTGGGCATGGTGCCAGCAGCGTGATGACCGCCTTGCACTCCTCCATTGGGGGGTGGAGGAAAAGAGGCGAGGCTCTCCCTGAGCTAGAGCTCCAGGGAGGGGGAGAGCTGGCTCTGGCCAGTGTTTTCCCCAGGATTTGGGGATGAGCCGACAGATGGCGTTGGTTTGTGCCCCAGAAGTTGGGGGAGCTGATGGGTGAGGGGAAGTTCTGCCCAAACTGCTCCGTTGGGTGTGGCTGGAGTTGAAGTGGAGCGGCTTTAAGGCAGGGGATGTGGGGGGACGTGTTGTGATGGGGTCACAACCTTTTGAGGTTGGGTGGGGAACCCTGCAGGGTCCTGTCATGCTGTGGTTAGCAGGGGAGGGGGCAGTGAGTGCCCACAGCCAGGCCACCTGATGCTGTGATCCTGGCAGCTCTCTGGCTAAGCAGAGCAGGCTAGGTGAGGTCATTCCTTGGCTGGGAGGCCTCTGAACAGCCGGTGGGTGCTGCTGGCAATGGTGATGGCAATTCAAATGGAAGGCTAATGCTCAGTCTGATCCCATGCCCCTGTGCTGCTGGATTTCCCCATCTTTCAGGTGCACTGTGGCCGTGAGATGCAATGTTGGATTTCAGGTGAGGCGCATAACTGAGAGATTGACTGCTCCTGGCCTTTTAAGACCTGTGGTGCTTCCTGCCAGGATTGGCTGTTGATCTTAGGCCTGGTCTACACTAGGACTTTAATTCGGATTTAGCTGCCTTAATCCGAATTAACCCTTCACCCGTCCACACTACAGAGCCAGTTAATTCGAATTAAAAGGCCCTTTAAATCGATTTCTGTACTCCACCTCGACGAACGGAGTAGAGCCTAAATCGATTTTGTTAATTTGAATTAGGGTTAGTGTGGACGCACACCACCGAATTACTGTGTTTAAGTTAATGGGGTAGTGTGGCCGCACACCACCGAATTAATGTGGTTTAAAACTGAATTAAGGTGCTTAGTGTGGCCGCGCACAATCGAATTTATACAACCTGTTTCCCAAATTCGAATTATCTAAATTCGGATTAATCCTGTAGTGTAGACATACCCTTAGTGTCCTTCCTAAATTCTGACTTGCGGTGTTACATTTACCTAGATTCCCCCTCCATGCAGTTCTTTGCCTCCTGTCCTCAGTACAGTGAGGATGGATTGCTGGGCTCTGTCAAAGGGGCACTATCAGATTTTAATTTTTTTTTTTAATCCCTTATCTAGGTTACCGCTGATATCTTTGATTATCAAAATCCAAAGAAGTTTAAAAATCCAGCCCACTTTTCACCATTTGTGTAGCTTGCTCTGAGTTTCCCGCAGCTGGGTTTGTTTATTACCCCTTTCTCGCTCTGGATTCTTGTGTGCCAGCACCTGGTTGCAATGTTTGGGGTGCAAACTCTGCAGGGGAATATGTAAATCCAGATCAAACGGAGGATTTTTTTTTAAAGAAGTGGAAACATTTCTGTAAATAGGGTTCATTTAAAGAAGAAAAATGGCTTTGCCTGCGAAGGGTGAGACGCAGTGTTGGGGGAGGACGTCTGCCCCTTCCCTTTCCCTGGGAGGAGTTAATGGTGGTGCAGCTGTCCCTTTCCTTTGCCCATAAGCTAGGATTGCCATCTCTGAGGTACAAAAAACGGGGACATTCGGGATGGTCCTGAGCACGTTACACACAACCATCTGGCCAGTTTTTGAAGCACCCTGACCAACACCTAGGATAGTTATCTCAAACAGTGACAGTCCTGGGAGAATCTGGCCAGGTGGCAACCCTACTACTGAGGTACTTGGGGTTAGGTATCAGTGGGGGCAACTGGCCTACCATTTTCCACCACCTCCTTTTGTTCCCGCCCTCCCCAGCGTTGCCCCTTTCCTGGAGGGAGTTGTGATCCTGACCTTAGAGAAATTTCCTGATGGAGGAGAGCAGTGCCCCCTCCCAGGCCACACGGTCCCCAGTGCTCCTTTCCCCATGCTTGGGGCATCTTCCCCGCCACCAACCCCTGAGCTCGCCAGGAGCCTTGTTCTCCCTCTTTCTAGAGACATCCCAGAAGCCTGAGGTGCTCTCCTGCCTCCCTCCAGCCAGCCCCCACCTGAGGGAACCCCACGAAACCTTAGACACCAGTGTCCACTCCTCCTGTGGGAGGGGGAATTATTTATCTGCCCCTCCCCAGTACATATGATAACAATGGAACCCCTGGTAGTGGGAGAGGAGCAGACGCTTCGCCTCTCCCAAGCCTGGCATCAGGGCTCTTCCTCCCTGTCCCTAGCGGGGAGAGCAGGCTCCTTGCAGCCCCAGTGCTTTGCATAGAAATGTCAGGAATGTGGAGCTTCCCCCCCCCCCAACCCCCCTTCCCAGCTTTCTCCTCTCTTTCCTCTCCTCTTTCAGGGGAGGAGACGGGATAGGGAGGGGGCTGAGGATTCCTGCCGAACAACTCAGCCCTTCAGGCTTGCTCCATACATGGAGTCTGGCCAGCCTGGCACCTCAGGGGCGGGCGTGCTTCTGCGGTCAGTCTGAACCATGAGTGTGTGATAGAACCGTGTCCCTCCCGGGCCCCCAGCCGAGTGCCACGTTTCAGGGCAAATGGAGACGAGATGGAAGGTGGTGGTGGGGCGCAGAACTCGTCGGAGAAGCGGGAAACCCGTTTCCTTAATTAAAAAAACAAAACAAAATTAAAAAAAGACGGTTTCTCCCTCCCTTTCATTGCAATGCACTGAATGAACAAGTAGTTTTCAGTACATAGAAATCTTAATGTCTTTAAAGGAAACATCTAAATTAGAGCCAGAAAGGCCAGCTGGCTGGGGTATAAATTCCAAAACCGCATGCAAATGCTGCAGAGTTGGACACACCGGCTGCAAGTTTCAGAGTTGTACTTTCAAAACAAAACAAAACAAAACAAAACAAGCAGTGACTTTGAGCTGGAGGGGGTTTTGTCTCCCACTAACACAGCAGGCCGAGGGTTTGCCCTGTATTGTTGCTGGTGTTCACTTTACCGAACTTTCTTTCTCTAGGGCTCTGTCTACCCTGGCACTTTTGTCAGTATAACTTTGCCAGTGTGGACAGTGCTATGTCTTTGGGAGAGCGTCTCCCGACCACGTGGCTACTGCTGCTTGTTGGAGGTGGTTTAATTATGTCCACGGGAGAACTCTGTCCCATCAGCATAGAGAGGCTACACAGGAGATCTTACAGCGGTACAGCTGTGCTGCTGTAAGCTGTCTAGTGTAGACGTGGCCTTAGCCTCAGGGCTGCATGTGGAATAAGCTCGTCTGGGCTCTCTTTAGAAAAAGCTGATTGAATTTTTGCACAGTTGGAAGATGTCGGCTTGACAGTCCTGGTGACGGGACTTGTCTGCGTTGGGATTTTCATTAATGTCCCACCGTTGCGGCTGCACTAGTCAGAATCCTTGTGTAGACAGGGTGTTGTTACCATCTAGACCTCAGAAGAAAATTGTTAGAAGAACCTAAATGACGCTTTTGAGAGAGCAGGTGGGTGAGGTAATATCTGTTATTGGACCAACTTCTGTTGGTGAGAGAGACAAGCTTTTGAGCTACACACAGCTCTTCTTCAGGTCTGGGAAAGGTACTCTGAGCTTTTCAGCTAAATACAAGATGGAACAGATTGTTTAGCATCAGTGGTTAGCTCACATTCTAAGGAACCATTCAAGGTGAAGTAGCCCATTAATACATCTGCAGTCATAGGAAAAAAAAGTGGGGTTAGTGGGTTACATTTATCATTTTCCTGTGTGAGTTCATTCAACGTAGGTG